CCTGGACAGACAGAGTGTTGAACATCCTGGACAGACAATCTGGAAGACATCATAGACTGACAATCTATGGGACATCATAGACTGATAATCTGTGGGACATCATAGACTGATAATCTATGGGACGTCATGGACAGACAATCTGTGGGACATCATAGACTGATAATCTGTGGGACATCATAGACTGATAATCTATTGGACATCATAGTCTAATAATCTATGGGACATCATAGACTGATAATCTGTGGGGCATCATAGACTGATAATCTATGGGACTTCATGGACAGATAATCTGTGGGACATCAAAGACTGATAATATGTGAGACATCATAGACTGACAATCTATGGGACATCATAGACTAACAATCTATGGGACATCAAAGACTGACCATCTATGGGACATCATAGACTGATAATCTGTGGGACATCATAAACTGATAATCTATGGGACGTCATGGACAGACAATTGTGGGACATCATAGACTGATAATCTATGGGACATCATAGACTGATAATCTGTGAGACATCATAGACTGATAATCTATGGGACGTCATGGACAGACAATCTGTGAGACATCATAGACTGATAATCTGTGAGACATCAGAGACTGATAATCTGTGAGACATCATAGACTGATAATCTGTGGCACATCATAGACTGACAATCTATAGGAAATCATAGACTGACAATCTATGGAACATCATGGGCAGACAATCTGTGGGACATCATAGACTGATGATCTATGGGACGTCATGGACAGACAATCTGTGGGACATCATAGACTGATAACCTACGGGACATCATAAACTGATAATCTGTGAGACATCATAGACTGACAATCTGTGGAACATCATGGGCAGAGAATCTGTGGGACATCATAGACTGACAATCTGTGGAACATCATGGGCAGACAATCTGTGGGACATCATAAAGTGACAATCTGTGGGACATCATGGGAGACAATCTGTGGGACATCATGGACTGACAATCTGTGGGACATCATAGACTGACAATCTGTGGGACATCATGGGTAGACAATCTGTGGGACATCATAGACTGACAATCTGTGGGACATCATGGACTGAAAATCTGTGGGACATCATAGACTGACAATCTGTGGACGTCATAGGCAGTCAATCTGTGAAACATCATAGACTGACAATCTGTGGAACATCATGGGCAGACAATCTGTGGGACATCATAAAGTGACAATCTGTGGGACATAATGGGAGACAATCTGTGGGACATCATGGACAGACAATCTATGGGACATCATGGGCAGACAATCTGTGGGACATCATAGACTGACAATCTGTGGGACATCATAGACTGGCAATCTGTGGGACATCATGGACTGACAATCTGTGGGACATCATGGACAGACAATCTATGGAACATCATGGACAGTCAGTCTCAGGGATATATTAAGCAGACAGCATGTGTGACATCTGTTTTGGATAGACAGTCTGTAGAACATCTATCCTGGATAGACAGTCAGTGGGACATCCATCCTGGACAGACAGTCTGTGGAAAATATATCCTGGACAGACAGTCTGTGGCAGATCTATCCTGGACAGACAGTCTGTGGAACATCTATCCTGGACAGACAGTCTGTGGGACATCCATCCTGGACAGACAGTCTCTGGGACATCTGTCCTGGAAGACAGTCTGCGGGACATCTATCCTAAACAGACAGTGTGGGACATCTATCCTGGACAGACAGTCTGTGGGACATCTACCTGGACAGACAGTCTGCGGAACATCCATCCTGGACAAAAAATGTGTGGGACATCTATCCTCGACAGACAGTCTGTGGGACATCTATCCTGGACAGATAGTATGTGGGACATCCATCATGGACAGTCTTTGGAACATACTTCATGGACAGACATTCTGTGGGACATCTATCCTGGACAGACGGTCTGTGGGACATCAATCATGGACAGACGGTCTGTGGGACATCCATCATGGACAGACGGTCTGTGGGACATCTATCCTAGACACACAGTCTGTGGGACATCTATCCTGGATAGACAGTCTGCAGGACATCTATCCTGGACAGAAAGTCTGTGGGACATCTTTCCTGGACAGACAGTCTCTAGGACATCTATCCTGGACAGACAGTCTGTGGAACATCTATCCTGGACAGACAGTCTGTGGAACATCTATCCTGGACAGACAGTCTGTGGAACATCTATTTTGGACAGACAGTCTGTGGAACATCTATCCTGGACAGACAGTCTGTGGAACATCTATTTTGGACAGACAGTATGTGGAACATATATCCTGGACAGACAGTCTGTGGGACATCTATCCTGGACAGACAGTCTGTGGAACATCTATCCTGGATAGACAGTCTGCGGAACATCTATCCTGGACAGACAGTCTGCGGAACATCTATCCTGGACAGACAGTCTGCGGAACATCTATCCTGGACAGACAGTCTGCGGAACATCTATCCTGGACAGACAGTCTGTGGAACATCTATCCTGGACAGACAGTCTGCGGAACATCTATCCTGGACAGACAGTCTGTGGGACATCTATCCTGGACAGACAGCCTGTGGAACATCTATCCTGGACAGACAGTCTGTGGGAAATCTATCCTGGACAGACAGCCTGTGGAACATCTATCCTGGACAGACCGTCTGTGGGACATCTATCCTGGACAGACCGTCTGTGGAACATCTATCCTGGACAGACCGTCTGTGGGAAATCTATCCTCTACAGACAGTCTGTGGAACATCTATCCTGGACAGACAGTCTGTGGAACATCTATCCTGGACAGACAGCCTGTGGGACATCCATCTTGGACAGACAGTCTGTGGGACATCCATCCTGGACAGACAGTCTGTGGGACATCCATCCTGGACAGACAGTTTGTGGGACATCTATCCTGGACACACAGCCTGTGGGACATCTATCCTGGATAGACCGTCTGTGGGACATCTATCCTGGACAGAAAGTCTGTGGGACATCTTTCCTGGACAGACAGTCTTTAGGACATCTATCCTGGACAGACAGTCTGTGGGACATCTATCCTGGACAGAAAGTCTGTGGGACATCTATCCTGGACAGACAGCCTGTGGGACATCTATCCTGGACAGAAAGTCTGTGGGACATCTATCCTGGACAGACAGCCTGTGGGACATCTATCCTGGATAGACAGTCTGCGGGACATCTATCCTGGACAGACAGTCTGTGGAACATCTATCCTGAATAAACAGTCTGTGGGACATCTATCCTGGACAGACCGTCTGTGGGACATCTATCCTGGACAGACAGTCTGTGGGACGTCTATCCTGGACAGACAGTCTGTGGAACATCCATCCTGGAGAGACAGTCTGTGCACTAGTATATGGGACGTTCTATGCAGACGCTAGTATATGGGACATTCTAGGCAGGCACTAGTATATGGGACATTCTAGGCAGACGCTAGTATATGGGACATTCTAGGCAGGCACTAGTATATGGGACATTCTAGGCAGGCACTAGTATATGGCACAGTCTAGGCAGACGCTAGTATATGGGACATTCTAGGCAGGCACTTGTATATGGGACATTCTAGGCAGGCACTAGTATATGGGACATTCTAGGCAGGCACTAGTATATGGGACATTTTAGGCAGGCACTGGTATATGGGACAGTCTAGGCAGACGCTAGTATATGGGACATTCTAGGCAGTCACTAGTATATGGGACATTCTAGGCAGGCACTAGTATATGGGACATTCTAGGCAGACGCTAGAATATGGGACATTCTAGGCAGGCACTAGTATATGGGACATTCTAGGCAGACGCTAGAATATGGGACATTCTAGGCAGGCACTAGTATATGAGAGATTCTAGGCCGACACATGTCTTTGGGGCAGCCTGGGCAGTCTGTGAAACATCCAGTGCAGATAGTCTGTAGGTCATTCTAAGAAGACACTAGTTTGTGGACATCCTAGACCTTGGCATCAGTCTGAGTTATAACCTGGGCAGACACCTGACAAAATTTATTGAAATTTTCTGTGAAGTTTACTGTGAAACCTGTTTCTGGTGTCTCTATTTTCTCACTGGCCTTTATTCCCCAAAGTAACACAGTCTCTGAGCTGACACAATCCAAGCATGTTCTTGATTGCAGCTCCTCCTCTGAGTGGGTGGTTATTGCTGCATCATCTGCAAACAACAGCTCTCTGATAAGTACCTTTCTTATCCTGGTTTAGGCGTGGGCCTTTGTAATAAATTAGGATCGTAATTTTTTTTTTAAATTAAAGTTATCTTGAAATATAGTGTATGTTTAGTAGAATAGTAGTAGTAGTAGTAGCAGCAGCAGCAGCAGCAGCAGTAGTAGTAGTAGTAGTAGTAGTAGTAGTAGTAGTAGTAGTAGTAGTAGTAGTAGTAGTAGTAGTAGTAGTAGTAGTAGTAGTAGTAGTAGTAGTAGTAGTAGTAGTAGTAGTAGTAGTAATTGTCCCAAAAATATCCCGTTTAACCCTCAAGGTTATCATTAGGATATTAAGTCTTTACTGAATTTCCAAAGTGTATTTAGGCCAATGTATATGTTATATAATCATTTCTTTCAGACAATAATGGAGTTGTTATCATTATTAAATGCGATATTGTCCTGTCCCCGCCCTCTGGGTTTTGAATACAACATATACTGCACAATGAGTATTTAGATAACTGTATTAAAATTTTGAGAGCAGGCATTTTCGCTGTGGCAACATAGGATGGAAGTCGCGGAGTATCTCCCAGTCCTTAGAGAAGAAAATAGGGGCATTTGAGCTGAAATACTAGAGGAAGGTTCTCAGAAAACAAAGAAGAGAAGAAGTAGTGACAGTCTAAAAGATCTGAACGACAAGGAAGATTGAAGGTCTTGTCTCGAAAGCTGAAATATTGTGACCATATCAAGTGCCCTGACGGACTGCAAAGAATAATAGCAGAAAGCGTGGTACCTGGAAGGGGTGTCCGGGGCCGATTATGTTTTTAATTCTAATATTTCTTGTTTTCCCATACTGCTAGCTCCGATGTTCAGTCAGATACTAAAACAACCAACACACAATGGAGTTATGTTCACGGGGCCTCAACTATCCGTCTTCTTGGAGCCACGATTGGCCAGCGCATTCAGGAAATAGTCGAGAGACATCCTGACAGGACCGCTGCAGTGTTCTTCAAAGATGGTGTTACCTTAACATTTGCAGACATGCTGGCAAAGGTAAACAGTTTGTTGACATTAATCATAGTATTTACAAATGTGACATACCTAAGACAAATGTGTATGATGCGCATACTGTGTTGTGTGTTCTCCTTATCATTTGCTGTGTCGGTCAGAATTTCTTCTTATTATTATTATTGATCTTTTTTCCCCCCATTTATTGTGTTGCTGTTGTTCTACTTTTCTCTTCTGCTCCTTTATCCTTCTCACATTCTTCTTCTCATAGTCCCCTTCTTCTTCTTCTTCTTCTTCTTCTTCTTCTTCTTCTTCTTCTGCCCCTCCTCCTCATTATTATTATTATTATTATTATTATCATTATTATTATTATTATCATTATTATTATTATAGCAATGTGAATATACCCGATGCTGGGGAAAACAAGTATTAAGAAAACCTGTCAATAGTAAAACAATGAATTCCTTTCATTTTTTCTTGAGCCCAAAACAAATATTTCCAAAGACACCAGTAGATGCATACAGACAACCTTTATTACGGAGACAGAAGAGAACTTCAGTTTCTTTTAGAAACACAGTAACATTTCTTCAGATTGACGTTATTTCCCTGTGCATGTTTACTGTTGGTTTTCGTTGGGCATGTTTTAGCCTTATTTGTTTGGTGTCCTCTTTGTCACTTTAGCTGCTGGTGTTGCCTCTGGAGAACCATTCAGGGCAACTGCGTGTTGACTAGTCAGTCCTCATGGGAAGGCAGGGGCAGATCATAGGTAATGCCTGCCATCCACGGAGTCTTTTGTTTTTGCGCTGGATAGGTTATGAGGTCAAGTCATGCTTGTTGGGGGGGGGGGGGGGGGAGTGAACTGTTGTGTGAAAAATCACTTTGGGGTATAAATAATTAACGAAGCCAGGACTTTGTGAGACAGGTTAGGAATGTCAACATTTGCGGCCACAGGAAGATAGGGGATTATGAACCATTAGGGAAACATGCGTCTTGAAGACCACATGGATTTTGTGGAATCTCTGTGGGTCGACGGCAGAAGTGGATTATGACTGTTGGCGAACAAGGGGTGAGATCCAAGCAGAACTGATAGCAGGTCGGAAAAGTCAGTTCATCTAACTATATGGACACATGTGTGCAAATTGTTTGAGTCAACTGGATGCATTGACTGTTTTTCAACAATGTTTTATTCCATCCGGATATTTTTAACAATGTTTTATTCCATCCGGATATTTTTAACAATGTTTTATTCCACCCGGATATTTTTAACAATGTTTAATTCCTTCCGGATATTTTTAACAATGTTTTATTCCTTCCGGATATTTTTAACAATGTTTTATTCCACCCGGATATTTTTAACAATGTTTTATTCCTTCCGGATATTTTTAACAATGTTTTATTCCTTCCGGATATTTTTTAACAATGTTTTATTCCATGCGGATATTTTTAACAATGTTTTATTCCATCCGGATATTTTTAACAATGTTTTATTCCATCCGGATATTTTTAACAATGTTTTATTCCATCCGGATATTGGGGTTGATTGGGAGTGGACTTTAGAATTCTGTCAGTGTGATTTCTAGAATGGACTTGTGCCGGCCGATATGTGTGGGATCAGCACGGTTTACCTGACCAGTTCATATGGGTCATGTATTGAACATGTTGCAGTTTGGAGCTGTCTGGGAGTGGTCTGTTCTGGTCGCCTGACCTGACGTGTCATGTTAGGATGTGTTTCTACAGTGTTCGACTAGGTCGTGGAAGTTGGCAACAAACTGGCATCCGACTGTGCATAGGATGCTTAACTGGAGCTTTGACATTTGTGTTTACTGTGTTGTCAGTGTGTCTAAGTCATAGGAAGTTTATTGATTGATCTTGTTGAATGAATGTTGTGGTCTTGTACATTCAATATTCATGAGTCCCTGACGGACTGCAAAGAATAATAGCAGAAAGCGTGGTACCTGGAAGGAGTGTCCGGGGCCGACTATGTTTTTAATTCTAATATTTCTTGTTTTCCATTACTGCTAGCTCCGATGTTCATTCAGATACTAAAACAACCAACACACAATGGAGTTATGTTCACGGGGCCTCAACTATCCGTCTTCTTGGAGCCACGACTAGGTCGTGGAAGTTGGCAACAAACTGGCATCCGACTGTGCATAGGATGCTTAACTGGAGCTTTGACATTTGTGTTTACTGTGTTGTCAGTGTGTCTAAGTCATAGGAAGTTTATTGATTGATCTTGTTGAATGAATGTTGTGGTCTTGTACATTCAATATTCATGAGACAAGACAGTTGACAGAATATTATTTGTAATGACCGCACTGAGTGAGCAACAGCAGGGGTCCTGTCTCGAGCAAACAGTCAGGCTATGAGGCCTGTTTGCTGGGGGAAGGGGGTGACGTGTGCGGTCGGGGGATATACTGCACGCTGGTCAAGTATCTAGGGCTTTTATTTAATATATGTCTGTCGTTCACACCTACACACTGGGTTCCCTCTACCCACTAACCATGCCGCCCACCTCCCTTGGCACGGCACAGCCGGTGATTATTACTGGAGTAAAGGACAGCCAACCAAACAAAAGCATCACTGTAGCCAAGCACACGTAACATGTCCTATGGTAACCGTTAACGTTGTCTACGAGTACTGTAAGTACACTCCATGCATCTACTGGTCTCCAACAATTCGCACACACACGTCCATACAGCAAGACAAACTGAACGCTACTGACTCAAGCTTATCACGTGACTTTTCCCACCCACAGTCTCACTTTCCTGCTGACACTCGGGGTTCACAACCCACTCTTGTTGTCGACCCACACAGATTTCACAATATAAATGGTGTTCTCTAGACTTGTGTTTTCCCCAGTGGTTCATACTCCATTATCTTCCTGTGGTCCTAAATGTCGACATTCCCAACCAGTCACACAAAGTCTTGGCTTCATTACCTCTTTATACCACACAGTGATATAAAACATATCAGTTTCCCTAAATACAGAGCCAACACATGATGTTCTGATCCTCGGCTCAACCAAGGAATCGTTATGTCATGCCCAGGACTGCTTCACCTCACATCCGTATGTTAAGTCACGGTCTTCTCTTTTTAAAGGCCTAACAGGTCAACGGGGATTCCCGTTCTTGTGCAAGAATTGAGTCCCTCTGCGTCCACAGTTTTTATCGAGGAGAGGTATACACAAATTAAACTACAGTTTCATTAATTTTCGACATATTTTATAGAACTATACGTCATTTTTAAGGTAAATAAGCGTGCCAATTAAATATAACAATAAAGGCTCTTACAGACAAACAAAAATGCTTTTGCTACAGTCAACATGAACATAAACATCAATAACGTTTAGATATAAACTAAAAGTTGTTCCAGCAAAAGTAAAGAAATATCAGTGCTAACTCTTTGATTCTGAGAGGGTATTGTTGCATCAGAGGAGCGGGGGGGGGGGGGAGGGGTTACATTTGTACTTTATCAAATTTAGCGCATAAAAATACTGCTATGAAACATACGCATGTCATACATAACATACATATAAATGATTGATGGTTATTATTATTATTAGTAGACTACTACAACATATAATTATACTGTTATTTAATAATTAGTAAACAAGCACAATCAGTATGAAATTGATATGTGCAATACTTTTTTCAACAAGAGAAGGCAGTGGTTAAGTGTTTCCCTCTCATCATCCCTTTGGAGATCAACAGGAATCAGCCCACGGGTATAGGACTTCAGTGACCACACAAATGGCACAGTCACTCCCTGCACAATAGACGCTACCAGAACAACCAGCATTACAGGCATGGCTTCCATGTTTGGTTTCAACACTCGGATGAGTGGGACCAGTGGTAGCGGGCATTTGTAACCCCCACTATTTAGGACTTCTTCTTCTTCTTTTGCGATCAGTTTTATGCACTCAGCTTATCAGTTGTGTTGCCTCCATGAACCGGCACGTCAGCGTTTTCTTGCAGGTATTGTTGAAATGGGCAGTTGTGCAGTATGGGCGAAGGTGTTTAGAGTTTGATTCGATAGGGACACTGCGTGAATTGTGCAGCCTTTATTCTGTGCATGTTTGCATTAATTTAAGAATGTTAAATCTGCTGTGCGATGTAATGTTATCCTTCTGTCTGGCAATGGGCAGGTTGACATGCTGGCTGCAGGCTTCCGGTCTTTAGGGCTGTCACAAGGGGACAGGGTTGGCATCTGGGGGCCAAACTCGGTAGAGTGGCTGCTAACTCAGTATGCTGCTGCACGTGCTGGCCTCATTTTGGTAAGTATATTTTCGTTGTGTGTGTGAGAGAGTGTGTGAGTGAGTGTATGAATTCACATCATTTTTACTCTGGCTATCTGTTGTTTTGTCTGAGCTAATACATTCTAAATTTAAAGATAAGTGTTAATCTGAAACTCATGCATGCCACACTGCATGTAACTGTGTGCTTACGTTATGGTCATGTCATACTCATGTGATGACTACTGACCCATGATGTATTGGTTCTGTTTATGACCGTTGAGAAAATGGCGGTGTTGATTCAGAATCCATTCCAAAGAATGTAGGCAGCATATGAAAACAGATGCTTGTTAAAGACAACAGTGACTGGGCATGAAGGATTCGGAAAGGACGCGAGTTCACTACAGATCTTTCACAGCCGGGTCAAGCGCATATTGTTGCAACAGAATAAAAAAACATTGCCAAACTTGATGCAGCAACAGAGGTGAACGTTGTCGAAGCATACATTCACCAGTGAAAGAATTCGATGTGTCAACTGGTATAGATCATTAGGTTGTTCGTTAGAAACTGCAGTGTCGGAAGGTGTGTTCGCAGAAGGTAACACGGATTTCGCGAAGATGCAGGCGTATTTAACACGGTAAACACATGATTTGGTAAGTAACCACAGTCCTTTTTTGCGGATGACATTCGCTGCCTCTCTAAAAAATGTGATGTTTATCTGAAAACCCACTGCAACATTTTTCAACCCATGGTTCATAATTTATTCAGAATAAATGCTTTGTTTAATTCTGCCACATATTTGGATTTGTGTGTGGGTGCGCGCAGCATAAGTTGTTCATCTTAGTCAACAGCAGCTGGTGAACCAACAACTCATTCAACAGCAGCTGGTGAACCAACAACTTAGTCAACAGCAGCTGGTGAACCAACAACTTAGTCAACAGCAGCTGGTGAACCAACAACTTAGTCAACAGCAGCCAGTGAACCAACAACTCAGTCAACAGCAGCTGGTGAACCAACAACTTAGTCAACAGCAGCTGGTGAACCAACAACTTAGTCAACAGCAGCTGGTGAACCAACAACTCATTGAGTTATCAGATAGTGATGGTACAAAGCATTTTACAAGCTGAGTTAACAAGTTGGTATGGGACTGGATGTAAATCCCATAGAAATTCAGCTGGAAAAAAAAATAATCATGAAAAAGTCTTCAATACAAGTCTTGAAAAAACAATCTGCCTGGGTGCAGATTGGAACTGTAGACCCTCTATATGTTATTTTACCGAGCTACCAGAGGCCTACTAATCCTGGGGTTAAAGAGGAAAGGATCGACTTCATTGCACTTTTAAAAAAAAAACCTATTCAGCTCACTCTCTCTCCACAGAACAGCTATCCATCTGGTAAGAGCATCGCACAAAGCACAAACTCTTCAGCTCCAGTGATGATTCTCAGGGATTTCAGTAAATTGCACCTGTGAACAGAATGTCGCAATTGAACCCACAACCTTCTGACCACAAGGCAAATGTTTGAAAAATACGCCACAGAAAAGTTCCACTATAACAAAAGTTTCCAGACCAAAATTTTCACTTCGATTTTAGTTAAAGTTTACTTGAATTGTTCTCAATGTAATGCGTTTAATACAAGCATGTCATATAGGCCAACTGGATTGTTTTTTGGCTCCACAGGTCAATGTCAACCCAGCTTACAGAACGCAAGAGTTGGAATATGCACTTAGAAAGGTATTTAAAAAAGAAATGACCAATCTTATTACATTGATGACTTTTCATCATCATCATCAGTTAGAATCAGAACAATGAGAAGTCTCACACTGCCTGTGTTTCATCATCATCATTTGCAATATACACAAATGTTTTTTTACAATGATCAAAAGCTGATACAATCTACAGAATAAATCCAAGTGAAGCAACAGGTGAATAAAACTCACAGGTGAGGAATGGGATTATAAATTCAGAAACCCTGGTAATACTAAAAGTCAACTAGAAAATCATTCCTATGGAATACACAGGGCAGAAGATAAGGGTAATTTGGTAGTTCTAAACATTCACCTTTCATATATCAATTGTCTACAAACTATGCTGTTTGCTAGCCTGTAGCCTGGTGGTCATATGTCCAAATCACCATCAAGGTGGAATTTCATTCCTGACCTATCTAGCCTGAAAATATTTAAAAGAAATGTGCCACAAAAATTAAGGTGGCCATTGAGCTAAACACCATATATCCAGTATGTGGCTAAACACCATATATCCAGTATGTGGCGAAACACCATATATCCAGTATGTGGCTAAACACAATATATCCAGTATGTGGCTAAACACCATATATCCAGTATGTGGCTATAAACATCATTTATCTAGTAGGTGGCTATAAACACCATATGTCCGGTATGTGGCTATAAAAACTATATATCCAGTATTTGCTAATCACCATCTATCCCGTATGTGGCTAAACACCATATATCAAGTATGTGGCTAAACACCATATATTCAGTATGTGGCTATAAACACCATATATCATGTATGTACCTAAACACTATATATCCAGTATGTGGCTTTTTAGTAATTATTTGATGTTACAATGGCGTTAACTTTCAGGCTGGGTGTAAACTTCTTGTGGCAGCAAACAGTTTCAAGGGAAGTGACTATGTTGCCATGCTAAGGGAGATAATTCCAGAACTGGATGTTTTAGCTCCTGGAAATGCCATCAGCTCAAAAGTGTAAGAAGTCTAGCACTTAAAATAACAAATAATCAATGACTGATGTCACTGCACTCGCGGTATTCAATATGTTCCCCTTTGTCCCCTGCATCAGCAGCCTACAAGAAAACTCATTGGAAAATGTGCCACCAAGGGCACAATCCTAAAGACCCAATCAACCTCCTCACATGAAAGAAACGAACTACTCATATTCTGACTGCTACTTAGTTACGTCCTTTTTAGGACGTAATTTTTTGTTATTTGAAGCCCCGCTCTGGCTTTTGCCAGGGGCCGCAATATAGGCAGGCCATACATATGGCCAAATGTCTGAACGCGGTTTCTGGGACCTCTCCACGGCGATCCTCATCCGCATGGTGGCACTTTGTGTCATCGGGTGTTTATCGCTTGTGTGATGTCCTGGTGGGGTAGAAAGTCAGTCAGTCAGTACTCATATCATAATTATATCTAGTTTTGTCCTTTTCAGGACGACATTTTTTGTTATTTGTAGCCCCACCCTGGCTTTTGCCAGGGGCCGCAATATAGGCAGGCCATAAATATGGCCAATTGTCTGAACGCGGTTTCTGGGACCTCTCCACGGCGATCCTCATCCACATGGTGGCACTTTTGTGTCATCGGGTGTTTATCGCTTGTGTGATGTCCTGGTGGGGTAAAAAGTCAGTCAGTACTCATATCAATATTTTAAAGCCCCACCCTGGTTATTGCCGGGGACCCTAATATAACGTAATAAAAAAAACCTAATGGCTAAACGGGGTTTCTGGGACCTCTTCATGGGTGATCCTCATCCAAATGGTGGCACTTTGTGTCACCTGGTGTTTATTGCTTGGTGGATGTCCTGATGGGGTAGAATCTCACATATTTACAAATCTCGCCCCAATATACAAAGCAATTAGTATTTTAATTTTATCTTAAAGCTCCACGCCAACTGTAGTCAGGGCCTCTAATATAACCTAAAGATTGAACGGGGGGAAAAAAACCTTGCCCCAATACAGGACGTAATATAAACATTTTTTTTTAGTTTGAAAGCCCTGCACCAATGGCTGTAGTCAGGGCCTCTAGTATAACCAAACGGTTGAACATGAAAAAAAAAACCTTGCCCAATACAGACGCAATATATAAAAAAAATTTTGTCCAAATTTGAAAGCCCTGCACCCTTGGCTATAGATGAGGGCTCTAATATAACCTAACGGCTGAATGGGATTTATGGGACTTGCACCCAGGTGATTGTCACCCGAATAGTGGCACTTTGTGTCACCAGGTGTTTATCGCTTGTTGGCGTTCCTGTTTAATCACAGCTCAGTCACTCTGACTGAGTCACTGGGTGTCAGTCTTTCGGGCTGCAATTCAGGATTGAACATTTTGTGTGTGGAAATATCATCGGGAAAATATCCATTGTTTCAAGTTTTTAATTGCTGTTTAAATTACCACCATCCTGAAGCAGGTAATTAAAAGTGTTTCGGCAGCACCACAACACGCCAGACAGAAATTTGGTGTGGCCAGTTCTCCTACATCATGCACTCTTCTTTCCAAGGAGTCTTGATTGTTCTTCATGTTCGTTGGCCCCTGTCCCTCTTGTACAAAACCATGCCCTCCCCTTCTGTTTTTCCCAGTTCACAATAGGGCTTGATAAAGGTAGTGAAAAAAAAGATTTTAACTTAATTTTTTTTTCATTTATACAATAAAGATTACAATTTTTGCTTGCATGTTTGCCCCTATTTAAAACGACGTTTCAGGTTGCCAGACTTAAAGTACATACTCACCATGGGCCCAGCGAAGCATTCTGGAACCTTCCGATTTGATGACGTTTTGACAATCGCTAGTCCGTCACAGAGGCAAAGTATAATTGACCTCCAAGACCAGTTACAGTTTGACGACCCAATCAGCATTCAGTTTACATCGGTATGCATTGATTATGTTGTTTCTATATTCAACATTGTGGTTGCACAAAAAAGTGTATGAGTGTGCAGGTCTGTACTAAAGTCTGTGCATTTATAGTCGCATTGATCTAAACACATTTGAATCTAGCATCATATGTATGACGTGTCAATGATGACACAAAGGTCTGTCACTTTAATTTCAGGTGGTTTTACCAGACAATTTTATGTTCAGTAGTAAAGCCTAGCATATGATGCTACATCTGGTTTAAGAATGGAGGTGGAGGCAGTCACATAAGCTTTCCGATAGCTTAAGCACTAGCTGTACATACACATCGCGATTGTAACTGACTCACAAAGCATGCTAAAAAAGGTTCAGACAGGCATATTCAATGAGAGAAACAAACATCGCTCTAGAAGTCCCGGGTAGTTTGCATCCTTTGGATATTTTTTCCCGGGCTATGTAGGTATCTTAGGAAATGAACAGGCAGACAGACTGGCTTAACGTTTACCATTCTTTGAGTAAGGACGACAGTCGGTACGTCCTTAAATTAACCTTGCTTATATGAGCTTCTTTTTCTGGCAATAGGGCACAACAGGTTCACCAAAAGGTGCAACTTTGTCTCATCACAACATCTTAAACAATAGCTACTTCTCTGGATTCCGCTGTGGATACCATGAACATGTAGGTATACCAGATTCATTGCTGTTATTGTTGATACAGACTGTTAATGTTATTGTTGATACAGACTGTTAATGTTATTGTTGATACAGACCGTTAATGTTATTGTTGATACAGACTGTTAATGTTATTGTTGATACAGACCGTTAATGTTATTGTTGATACAGACTGTTAATGTTATTGTTGATACAGACCGTTAATGTTATTGTTGATACAGACTGTTAATGTTATTGTTGATACGGACCGTTAATGTTATTGTTGATACAGACTGTTAATGTTATTGTTGATACAGACTGTTAATGTTATTGTTTATACAGACCGTTAATGTTATTGTTGATACAGACCGTTAATGTTATTGTTGATACAGACTTAATGTTGTTGTTGATACAGACCGGTAATGTTATTGTTGATACAGACTTAATGTTGTTGTTGATACAGACCGTTAATGTTATTGTTGATACAGTCTGTTAATGTTATTGTTGATACAGACTGTTAATGTTATTGTTGATACAGACCGTTAATGTTATTGTTGATACAGTCTCTTAATGTTATTGTTGATACAGACTGTTAATGTTATTGTTGATACAGTCTGTTAATGTTATTGTTGATACAGACCGTTAATGTTATTGTTGATACAGTCTCTTAATGTTATTGTTGATACAGACTGTTAATGTTTTTGTTGATACAGACTGTTAATGTTATTGTTGATACAGACCGTTAATGTTATTGTTGATACAGACCGTTAATGTTATTGTTGATACAGTCTCTTAATGTTATTGTTGATACAGACTGTTAAAGTTATTGTTGATACAGACTGTTAATGTTATTGTTAATACAGACTGTTAATGTTATTGCTGATACAGACTGTTAATGTTATTGTTGATACAGACTGGTAATGTTATTGCTGATACAGACTGTTAATGTTACTGTTGATACAGACCGTTAATGTTTTTGCTGATACAGACTGTTAAAGTTATTGCTGATACAGACCGTTCATGTTATTGTTGATACAGACCGTTAATGTTATTGTTGATACAGACTGTAAACGTTACTTTTGTTAGTAATCAATTTCAATTCAGCCTGGATAAGCTTTTAGGTTTGCTATCTTCCTTAGATTCTGCAACAGTGTGGATATATGTAAATGTTAATGTTCACCAGGTGTTCCTTTTAAAGTGCATTGACAATGTGAATTGAATTATTAAACATTTCACATAGGATTCACAGATAACATCGATCCCAATTTACCAACCACACAATCAGGCTCTGTCCCCCAAATGATACCCGGCCTCCACAAGGCCAGGTGTGCATGCTGTAAATATTTTCTCGTTAGTCAGATTTCCAAATCATAAAAAAATCTTCCAATCGATTTCTAGAAATCTTGAAATTCTAGAGCACCCTTGCCTTGCTTACATTTGAGTGAGAAAGAGAGAAAGAGAGAGAGAGAGAGAGAGAGAGAGAGAGAGAGAGAGAGAGAGAGAGAGAGGGGGAGAGAGAGAGAGAGACAGGGAGGGAGGGAGGGAGAGAGAGAAAGAGAGAGGAGAGAGAGAGGGGGAGAGGGGGGGGGGAGAGTTATTCAAGTCTGTTGACAATAAAAACACTGGATCCATGTAGGAACATTTTCCACTCTGGTGGTAATCCTTGCCAGTCATTGCATACTGTACCGAATCATGTCTTGGTTTACATACTGTACCGAATCATGTCTTGGTTTACATACTCTGCAGAATCATGTCTTGGTTTACATACTGTAATGAATCATGTCTTGGTTTACATACTGTGCTGAATCATGTCTTGGTTTACATACTGTGCCGAATCATGTCTTGGTTTACATACTGTACCGAATCATGTCTTGGTTTACATACTCTGCAGAATCATGTCTTGGTTTACATACTGTGCTGAATCATGTCTTGGTTTACATACTGTACCGAATCATGTCTTGGTTAACATACTGTACCGAATCCATTATACAGTGCCAGAAGAAACATCTCTTCATTCCAGTAGACGAAATCCCTTGTCATGGTTCAAATGATAGAATATCAAAACATGAGACTTCAGAGTTAAACACCAAAGTCATTCAACTTTTTTGCACCTGCCTTCCTTTCAGGAAACTAAGAGATATTGATAGCTAAGAAAGGAATAAAACGGAATGTAGATATTATTTTTAGCAGACTACCCCCGTGTGGGCTCAAGAACCCCATTATGGGGAAAGCAAGAATAGACCCACTGCCTCCACAACAGGCATGTCGTAAGAGTCGACTAACTGGAAGACTTCTTCGCAGTCGGAGTGCATCTGACTTGGAGGCAAGGGACCAATAGTCTGCGTGCAAAGTCAGATGTGTAAAATGAATGTGCATGCAACACTCAGGTTCTTGAACAGGACTAAAGTTGGGAGGTGGACAAATATCCGAAACTTTCCGTCAAAGTTTACAGCGGTGAATGCAAAGAAGAAGAATTAACATACAGTGAGTGGTTATTTGCAGAACTAGATAATTAATTAATTAATTGTAACAATTAGGAATCCAGCATCTGTGTGCCTGTTCCACTGTATCATTGTTTTGGGATGGTGGTTGGCTGCATGCAGATGATAAGTCACGCTGCTACAATTGTGTTTCCTTCCCCGACCTTTGATCCTGGCTACACGCTGAAAGCTGTCGAAGAACAAAAGTAGGTAATCTAGTACGACTCAATGTCAACATGAGATGTCCTTGTGGTTAGATGTCCATGCCCTGTGTGAGTTCTAAGATCGCGTTTGAGGGAAAAATAACAGACCCACTGCCCCAACTGGCATGTCATTAAAAGTGATTGTTGTAGGGTGTTTCCTTCAGTGTTGAGGTGCTTGTGCCTGTGAGATCAGGAGCCAACAGTCTGCATACAAATCAGCCAGCTCTGTAAAATGGATGTGCACCCAAAACTCAAGTTCTGGAAAAAGATCAAAGTCCAGAAGTGAAGAAACAATAGCAATTTCCACCCGATTTACAGCTGGTTAATTAGTGAGTGGGTGAGATAGTTTAGTTAGTTAGTTAGCTATCTAGCTAGCTAGCTAGCCAGTCAGTCAGTCAATCAGTTAGTTAGTTAGTTAGCTATCTAGCCAGTCTGTCAGTCAATCAATGAGTTAGTTTAGTTAGTACGTTAGTTATCATGATTGCACTCCGGACATGTCTATAGGTGCTCAGATCCTCCCCTCAGTATGAACCCCAGCAACCGGTGGCTATTAGTACCAGTTTTGTGTTAATTAACAAGTCCTCTGATGTGCCTGGTGTGCATCTAGATTTTTCTATGGAGATCTGAACTCCCAAGTCTATCATTCTGGCAAGTGATGTGGATTTACTGACCCAAAGTTCTCCACCCTTCCGACTCCTCGGAGGACATTAATAATATCAGCATGATCCATAGGTTGACAGCTTATGGATTATATATTTGTTGAATGATGCTTCTGATGAACTTTTCAAAGCAAGACGTTAGACAGGGATGTAAACTGTCACAATCTAGACAGGGATGTATACTGTAACCCGTTAGACAGAGATGTATACTGTCACCCGTTAGACAGGAATGTATACTGTCACCCGTTAGACAGGAATGTATACTGTCACCCGTTAGACAGGGACGTATACTGTCACCCGTTAGACAGGAATGTATACTGTCACCCGTTAGACAGGGACGTATACTGTCACCCGTTAGACAGGGACGTATACTGTCACCCGTTAGACAGGGATGTTTACTGTCACCCGTTAGACAGGGACGTATACTGTCACCCGTTAGACAGGGACGTATACTGTCACCCGTTAGACAGGGATGTTTACTGTCACTCGTTAGACAGGGACGTATACTGTCACCCGTTAGACAGGGACGTATACTGTCACCCGTTAGACAGGGACGTATACTGTCACCTGTTAGACAGGGATGTTTACTGTCACCCGTTAGACAGGGATGTTTACTGTCACCCACTAGACAGGTATTATACTCTCACCCGTTAGACAGAGATGTATGAGTTATGAGTTAGATTATTTTCACAGCACTCCGGACACATCCATAGGCGCTCAGATTCCCCTCTCAACATATTCACCAGCGTCGTGCGGGTAATAGAACCAGTCCTATGTTGGTTAACAAGACTTCGTGTGCGTTCTGTGTGCTTCTCATGCTTGGCTGTGCCGATCTTTACTCCCAATTTGCTTATTCTTAGAAGTGATGTGGACACGTTGCTTCCAAAATCCTTAGAACGTCCTATCTATCTAAGATCAATGACAATGTCTGAGTGATCCATGGGCCGGTCATTTTCAATTAATGCAGCACCTGCCATTCTATCAGCTATCTCATTACCAACAACGCCTGCATGCCCTGGGACGAATATGAAAGTAACTGCACACACAGGATAATTATGCAATGACTCAAGCCACTGTCTGTGTAACCCAGCCTGCCTCGACCCGCCGGATCATGCTCAAAGAATCATGCAGCACACACACGAGGGAATAGTCCTGTGATCCCAGCCACATGAAAGCCCGTGTCACCTCCATCACCTCCATCGTCATGCTGCTGGTGGTCATGGAAAAGGCACCGCTGGCTTCCTTAACTGTTCTGTTCGAAGAGCGAGCTGTAAATACCCATGCACTCTTATGTCCTCGTATAACGGACTTGTCTGTGAAGATCACCACATCTGTCTCATCTGACTTGTCACTGATAAGCGTGCAGACCTCGGCATTGACTGCAGCTGGATTCTGCCCCCGACTATTTCTATCGAGCGTCACGACACAGGAAAATGTGAGATTGGGCGCTTTGGTATCCACTCCTCACCTGGATGGATGTCTGTAAGCAGACCTGCATGATGTCATCCTCTGCCCTACCCAGCCATGATTTGCCCTTGTAAGCCTATTGCCCTTTTTCTTGAAGAGCATGTGGTGCAAAGGGTGCTTCAGATCTGAGCTTAACTTGAGGTGTGCACGAACCCTCCATATCCTGATCCTGTGAATTATGGTAGGGAAATCAAGAAGGTACGTCATTGCTACACAAGAGGTGTCTCCAGTGCACCTTAGAATTATGCACATTGCTTCATTTTGCACCTTCTCAAGTCTTTCAATGGCTGACGGTGAGGATGGCAAGAGGGATGTATATTGTCACCTGCGTTATTAAATTTATACAGTTAAATAATAATTTGATCCATAAATGGTATGCAATGAGTATCAGTTGGTGGACATATTGTTAACAACCTGCGATATGCTGACTCTATAGTTGTGATTGCTGAAAATCAAACCCAGCTGCAAGAAATGATGGATATAATTGTAACAGAAAGTGAAAACAAGGGTTCTAGATGGAACAGCAGAAAACAGAAGTAATGGTAAATACAAAGAAAACTGATCCTTCAAAATGAAACATCAAAGTAAGTGGGACAAACCCCAAACAAGTTGATATGTTTTAAGTGCCTGGGTATCCTGATAGTATCAGATGGAAGATGTATCAAAGAAGTTTAATGTAGAAATAGCTCAAGCAAAGGCAGCATTTTACAAAATGAACAATATTTTACAAAAAAAATTTTTGGTCAGTTGATACGAGAAAGAGAATTCTTAAAAGCTATATAAATTTTATCTTGATATACGGAAGTGAATTATGGACAGTTGCTAAATTAGTGAAAACTTTTTTGGAAGCTGCACAGATGTGGTTTTATAGACGAATGATAAGAATACTCTCAAATGATAAAAGAGTAATAAAGATGTCTTGAAAGAAACTGACTCATAAAGAAAACTGATTGTCCACATCAGAAAGAGACAGTCTATTCTTTGGTCATGTGATGATAAAAACAGGAGTACATCATGAAAGCGGGAAAGTTGGAGGGGGGAGGAGAGGCAAAGGCAGACCGAGAGAACAGATGCTGAATAGTTTGACATTATGGCATGAAGGATAATCTGTATCAAAGTATGAAAGAACACGAGACAAAAGGTTGTGGATAGACATGACTACTGTGCCACACGGCATGGACTCTAAGATAAAGAAGAATGAGATGCTAAGGAAAAGAAGAGACTCGCTCATACCACTTCATCTTTTTGTTTTTGTTTTGACTGGATAATTGTTTCTTGTTTCCCCATTCCTGTTCACAGTTGACTGGTTTTTGTGGGTTTTGTGTTTTACAGGACATGGTAGTCACCCTTTACTTTACTCAAAGCTACTTTTTATAATCAGTCAGTCAGTTTGTCACCTCCGTGTTGCTACCTGAAGGTTTACTCTACTATCTTGAGATTTAAGAATCTCCATCTGGACGACAGACCAACAAGGCAAATCCCAGATACCACATTCAACCTTTTAAGAAGTTATAGTTAGGGCACCTGTAACGGTTACATCAGCCATCTGAAATCTGCAGTCCTGTGCCAGTAAGCACTTCTCCTATGACATGCCAGGTATGGTGCAGTGGTACTATTCTTTGCTTCCCCTAAAAGACTTTATAACACATTGGTTGTCCTCAAAATTGTGGTGAGTTAAATCTTTTACATTTATTATTCAGTGCTGTTTTTATATTTATGTATGTATGTATTTATTTATGTATTTATTTATTTTCTTTCTCATGGCTCACTATATATTTTGGTGTTGAATTCTCAACAAGCAAAATACTTTATTTTTCTGTGAATAAAACTTTTAGATCTATAATTGGTGATCGTCTTATACACAGAATATGTTTAGAATATTTATTTCTTAATTCTGAGCTGCAAAAATCTGTGTCATCTTATACATGGAGTTGTCTTATACACATACAGATATGGTATCTAAACATTTGAAAAGAGGTTGATATGTATATCATCATCATCATCATCGCCATGTAGTAGGTCGTCCACAGAATATTACTCCCATCACAATTTACCTGACAAAACCTCAGTCCCTCGCCAGCTCTCCCGCTTCATGCACGCTCCCATCCACATTGTCTCTTATGTCCTGTGCCCATCTTCTTGCTGGTCGGTCCTTTCCCCTCTTATCTTGTATCATCCCCTCCACTTCTGTTCTTTTGAATCAGCGGTCCATATACTGCATAGTTTACCTCTGGTTCTGCTCCCTCTATTTCTGTATCGCAATGCTCTCTGTGGTGCCATGTCTGATACCAATCTTGTTACATGGCCAAACCATTTGATTTGTTGTCTACCTATAAAGTTTATTATTGGTTCTATGCCGACTCTCCTCCTGATATCATTGTTCCTAAGTTGATCGTTCCTTGTTACACCTAGCATAGTACATAAACATTTCATTTTTTGTCGTGACTATTCTCCTTCTGTCTTCTGAAGATAGTGTCCATGTTTGTCATTGATAGCACAGCGTTAGTAAGAATATTGTGTTGAACCGTGTTCTTTTAGTGTTTATATTCACATACCTGCATTTCCAAATTGGTGCAATTTGCCCTAAAACTTGACTGGCTGTATTGCATCTGTGCTAGATTTCTTTATTTATTGTTTCGTCTTCTGAAAAATGCTCCCCAAATATGAAAAATCCTTCGCCTGCTTAAACTGATGTTCATCAATTTTGATATTGGTGGTTCTTCCTTTTCTGGAGAATGTCATAACTTCTGTTTTATCTACTTTGATCTTCATATCGTAGTTTTGGCATTCTGAGTGGAGTCTATCAACATGTACTGCTGATGGTGCTATGACTGCCTAAAAATCGGCGAAAAGCAGTTTATTTAGTAAATCTCCGATGTTGTCCCCTTCACTAGTGTTAGCTGATTAACACATTTGGTCAAGGTATGAGCCGGTAAAGGGCCCTTTTCCGCGCCTTCAGGTGTGTTGGGCAAATAGGGCTAGACCTACATTTTATAAACCAATGAGCGCTTGATGGGTGATGTGGTCAACATCACACCGGCCGCCTTTACTTCCCAGGACTGCACCTGGTGCTCAGTCAAGGCTGGGTCAACAAGGGAGTCAATGTCATTTGTGAAGAAAGCCCCGCTTCCGTCAGGACCTGAACCCACGACCTTTCGACCGCAGGCGAACGTCTAGCCACTACACCACGGCGACTCACATCAATGTATATAGGTGGTTAATATTTTATACACCAGTTAGCACTCGTGGGTGAGGCGGTAAGTATCCTGCCGGCCGCCTTGACTTCTCACTACTTTACCTAGTACCTTTTTTAGACTGGTCCATCTGGAAGCAAAGGTCAATTTGACACAAATCTGTGTGGAATCAAAGCTAAGACTTTGGGCTAGCAGGTGACTGTCAGGCACTTCTCTACCTTGGCTAACAGGTGAGCTTTAGGCCACTTCTCTGCCTTGGCTAGCAGGTGAGCTTTAGGCCCCTTCTCTGCCTTGGCTAGCAGGTGAGCTTTAGGCCACTTCTCTGCCTTGGCTAGCAGGTGAGCTTTAGGCCACTTCTCTGCCTTGGCTAGCTGGTGAGCTTTAGGCCACTTCTCTACCTTGGCTAACAGGTGAGCTTTAGGCCACTTCTCTGCCTTGGCTAGCAGGTGAGCTTTAGGCCACTTCTCTGCCTTGGCTAGCAGGTGAGCTTCAGGCCACTTCCCTGCCTTGGCTAGAGGTGAGCTTCAGACCACTTCTCTACCTTGGCTAGCAGGTGAGCTTCAGACCACTTCTCTACCTTGGCTCTTTCTGCTGTGTAAATATTTGATTAATTTTCAGATGCACCTCTTTGTTAGGTGTGCCAAGTATGTTTATTGACATACTGAACCACCCGAGCTGTGCTGGCACCAACTTCTCCTCGCTGTACACAGGCGTCATGAGTGCTTCTCCATGTCCAATCACGCTGTGTCGAGCCGTCGTGGAGCAGATGAACATGCATCGATTTACTGTAAGTCTTTTCACTTCAAAAATGAATTTTTTTTTCTTTATTCGCCCAAGTGACGTAATTTTCCTTGTGCCTGTTTACAGAATTAAACTGAATACATTACTCAGGGCTTGAGAAAACAATATATTTCAGGTGACCAATTCCGAGACCCCATCACCTCTAGAACTGAGGCTTATGGAAATTCGACATAAGCTTAGCTTAAAAAAAAAAAGCTATTTGAGTCATCAGGAAATACCACCCACCCCCTGCTGATGCTATTATTAGCTACTATATTCATATCCTGGCATATTAAACACTTGCAGGTGCACATTAGAACCAATGCATTTTAACTATGCTTTTCAAGAACAGATCACTACAGACATGGCGATATGTCACAACCAGAAGTGACTAGATTTAGCCCTCTCAGGTGCATCTGGCTTAAAGTTCACGTCATGTGATGTTAGTCATCATATCTCTCCACAGCCTTCTGTCATATGTGCTGGCATTTTTTTTTTTTTGACACACATTGCTCGCCATTGTTGTAAGATGCTTTATAGATAATATAGCTGATCTGCGAAAGATTAGTTTTGAAAGGGCTGAATGTGAGACGGTCCTGCGTGTTCAATTTGTGACCCTATAAAAATGTTCGTTCATTCTCTATCTCTCTCCATTTCTGTTGTCATCATATATCCTAGTTTTCTGCTTCTCTTGATATATCTAAAGCGTGTAGAATGTCGACTGTCTTCAAATATCTCCATTACTGAGCAGAATGTAGAGGCGACTATGATCTGCTTTAGTTTCAGAACAATAGTAGTAATCATTTCAACAATATCCTGTTCAACACATCTGGATTATAATTCTATTTCAGTAATGGATTTGTATGCCTCTCAGTTTTGTTTTTTATTCCGTATTGCATAGCTTATAAATGCTAAGAATTGTACAGATAACTGAAAACACACACATTCACAAACAAACATTTAATAACAGTTCTTATATTTGTTTATATGGTGAATATTTGTGTTACGTATGCAGGTCTGCTATGGTTCCACTGAAATATTTGTGTTACGTATGCAGGTTTGCTATGGTTCCACTGAAACAAGTCCAGTATCGTTTCAAACAACAGGAGACAGTTCATTGGACCAGCGAGTATCCACTGTAGGAAAAGTCATGGACCATATTGAGGTTACATATCCATTTATCTGTTTGTACTGTTGTTTTCCCGTTGTTCCTTACTAGTAACTTGTATGTGTCAAAACCCTAGCATATCGGCCTGACCCATTCTTGCTCCGTCCTCCGATGCAGTAGCCCTCTCACTGTCTCCATGTCCAACGTACCCAGGATGAACTGACTGGCATATCTTCTTTCTGTATCCCACAACCAGTTTCTACCTGCTGAAACTAGTTTAATACCTATTTCCAACAGGCTGTTCCTTGTCTCTCTCCTTTGTCTCAAAGTCTCAAGACCGTAGTGCAATTATTATGTCTGCCATGTCCACACTTCTTCCTCTACCAATCACTGCAGACACAGCCATTCTGTCAGCTCTTTCATTTCCTTTCACCCTGGCATATCCTGGTGTGTACAGACAAGATAGTTTCTGTAGGCCTGACTTATGGATGCTATGAACCCATTCAAGTTGGGGTTTGCCAGTTAAGCATGCTCCCTGAGTTTGTTTCTATCAATGCTGGAGCATCTGTCTGTTCTGTCAGCAATACAAGTGTCCTTCTAACAGCTGCTTTCTCTATCTCATGCTAGAAGTAGTTTAACTGAATGTCTGACTTTCTTCTTTTACTGTCTTCCCATTTAACGGCTCTCTGTATGCTCACCCAGACCGCATGTCTTAAGCCACTGAGTCTTCTGTATAGACGATGTCACCTGGTTGCGTGTGTGTGTGGCTTATTTCAGCATCTGCGGCTGCTTGGCTCTATTCTCTGCAATACCTGCCCAGGAAGATGATAACCTCAAGATGCTCCTGCTGTTGCTCTGGTAGTTCTATCTGTTCAGCACTGACATGTTCCAATGGGAAAATGTGGCTAATGGTATCCTCTGCTTCTGCCATCCATGACCGCCTCCCTTTAGGTGCTTATCTTTGTTCCTCGAGGCCAGCTTTTCAGAGGGTGTTTTATGTCAGCTGAAACATAAAGATACACCTTCACTATGGCCATCTTGTGTCTAGTGACCATGTCTGGTAGGTCCAGGATTTGTCCCATAACGTGACATGAGGTGTAATAAATTAGAATGCACCCAAAAAAAAAAAAGGATGCACAACACATAGAGTTCAGTAATATGAGATCCTTATAAGACAGTTTCACTTATGTATTTTTTGGTTTATAAAATGGCAAGCATTCTTCTTCTTCTTCTTGGCCTTGAAATAGCTTGAGTTTTGCATGCATATCTGTTCTACATATTTAACTTATAGGTATGCAGACTGTTGATTCCTTGCCACTTAAGCAAATGCACTCCGACTTTGAAAGAATCACCTCTAATTGGCCACCTTCGATCCTCTGACATCCCTCTTAGGGAGGCAGTGGGTCTATTCTTTATTTTCCAATATGGATCCCCAGGAACCGCACAGAAGGATGAATCAAAGAAAGGTGAAGAAATCAGAGAAACGTTGGGGCAACCAATGGTAACAATAGTTATATGACAGAGAAGATGGTGCTGTATTAGACACATCCTCAGAAGGGACGAACAGACAATCACCAAACAGGCACTGAAATAGGAAACAGAGGGATTGAGAAATGAGAAAATCCCAGAGAAACCAGGAAGTGAATGTTGATGAGAGAAGCCGAAGGTGCCGGACTGAATGCCTTTCATGATATCGAATTGATTGCCCAGAACAGAATGGAATGGAAAAAAAACAGACTACAAGCTCTATGTGACATATAGTGGAAAAGCAGGATGAATACAGATATAAATAATATGTCATTAGAACAGCTGAAGGGAATTCAGAGTTTGATTCTCCCAAAAAATGTTTTTGGCTGTCAAGGGGAGATCACTCATCAGTGCTGGATGCCAAGAGTAAACAACATATCTCCATATACTGGGTCTGTGAAAGGGTGGGGGGGGGGGGGAGAAGAGCTCCAGACCCTTAACCAGAATGTTGTAAAGGCAACTAATTATTGGTTTGTTGAAATTAGACGTTGCACTGCAAGGTGCATATATCACAACCTAGCTGTAAACCACAACATAATGTATCAGCTGCAATTAAAATGGCAAATAAATAATATTAAGAAGAAGATCATTCATAAGTTTCATTGTTTTGCTGTCAAGAATATAAAGTCACTAGTATCAGGTTATCAAGAGAACAATTCACTAATATCAAATTGTCAAGAGGAGACAACTCACCAGTATCCGCTGTCGATAGTAGACAACTCACTAGTATCTGTTGTCAATGGTAGACAGTTCACTAGAGTCCGTTTTCAGTAGCAGACAATTCACTAGTATCTGTTTTCAGTAGCAGACAATTCACTAGTATCCGTTGTCAGTAGCAGACAATTCACTAGTATCCGTTGTCAGTAGCAGACAATTCACTAGTATCCGTTGTCAGTAGCAGACAATTCACTAGTATCCGCTGTCAGTAGCAGACAATTCACTAGTATCTGCTGTCAATAGTAAACAATTCACTAGTATCCGCTGTCAGTAGTAGACAATTCATTCATATCAAATTGTCAAGAGTAGACAACTAACTAATGTTCAGTTGCCAAGAGTAGACAATTTACTAATGTTCAGTTGCCAAGAGTAGACAACTAACTAATGTTCAGCTGTCAAGAGTAGACAACTAACTTATGTTCAGTTGCCAAGAGTAGACAATTTACTAATGTTCAGTTGCCAAGAGTAGACAACTAACTAATGTTCAGTTGCCAAGAGTAGACAATTTACTAATGTTCAGCTGTCAAGAGTAGACAACTAACTAATGGTCAGTTGCCAAGAGTAGACAACTAACTAATGTTCAGTTGCCAAGAGTAAACATCTAACTAATGTTCAGTTACCAAGAGTAGACAACTAACTAATGTTCAGTTGCCAAGAGTAGACAACTAAATTATGTTCAGTTGCCAAGAGTAGACAATTTAATAATGTTCAGTTGCCAAGAGTAGACAACTTACTAATGTTCAGTTGCCAAGAGTAGACAACTAACTAAGGTTCAGTTGCCAAGAGTAGACAACTAACTTATGTTCAGTTGTCAAGAGTAGACAACTAACTAATGTTCAGTTGCCAAGAGTAGACAATTAACTAATGTTCAGGTGTCAAGAGTAGACAACTAACTAATGTTCAGGTGTCAAGAGTAGACAACTAACTCATGTTCAGTTGCCAAGAGTAGACAATTAACTAATGTTCAGGTGTCAAGAGTAGACAACTAACTAATGTTCAGGTGTCAAGAGTAGACAACTAACTAATGTTCAGTTGCCAAGAGTAGACAACTAACTAATGTTCAGTTGCCAAGAGTAGACAACTAACTAATGTTCAGTTGCCAAGAGTAGACAACTAACTAATGTTCAGTTGCCAAGAGTAGACAACTAACTAATGTTCAGGTGTCAAGAGTAGACAACTAACTAATGTTCAGTTGCCAAGAGTAGACAACTAACTAATGTTCAGTTGCCAAGAGTAAACAACTAACTAATGTTCAGTTGCCAAGAGTAGACAACTAACCAATGTTCAGTTGCCAAGAGTAGACAACTAACTAATGTTCAGTTGCCAAGAGTAGACAACTAACTAATGTTCAGGTGTCAAGAGTAGACAACTAACTAATGTTCAGTTGCCAAGAGTAGACAACTAACTAATGTTCAGTTGCCAAGAGTAGACAACTAACTAATGTTCAGTTGCCAAGATTAGACAACTAACTAATGTTCAGTTGCCAAGAGTAGACAACTAACTAATGTTCAGTTGCCAAGAGTAGACAACTAACTAATGTTCAGTTGCCAAGAGTAGACAACTCACTAATGTTCAGTTACCAATAGTATATAACTTACTAATGTTCAGTTGCCAAGAGTAGACAACTAACTAACGTTCAGTTGCCAAGAGTAGACAATTAACTAATGTTCAGTTGCCAAGAGTAGACAACTTACTAATGTTCAGTTGCCAAGAGTAGACAATTAACTAATGTTCAGTTGCCAAGAGTAGACAACTAACTAATGTTCAGTTGCCAAGAGTAGACAACTAACTAATGTTCAGTTACCAATAGTATATAACTTACTAATGTTCAGTTGCCAAGAGTAGACAACTAACTAACGTTCAGTTGCCAAGAGTAGACAATTAACTAATGTTCAGTTGCCAAGAGTAGACAACTTATAATTGTTCAGTTGCCAAGAGTAGACAACTAACTAATGTTCAGTTGCCAAGAGTAGACAACTAACTAATGTTCAGTTGCCAAGAGTAGACAATTAACTAATGTTCAGTTGCCAAGAGTAGACAACTAACTAATGTTCAGTTGCCAAGAGTAGACAACTAACTAATGTTCAGTTACCAATAGTATATAACTTACTAATGTTCAGTTGCCAAGAGTAGACAACTAACTAACGTTCAGTTGCCAAGAGTAGACAATTAACTAATGTTCAGTTGCCAAGAGTAGACAACTTATTAATGTTCAGTTGCCAAGAGTAGACAACTAACTAATGTTCAGTTGCCAAGAGTAGACAACTAACTAATGTTCAGTTGCCAAGAGTAGACAACTTACTAATGTTCAGTTGCCAAGAGTAGACAACTTACTAATGTTCAGTTGCCAAGAGTAGACAACTAACTAGTATCAGGTAGCTAAGATTAGATAACTCCCCAAGTTTTACTATGTGTTTACAATGTTGGATACAGGGCAAAATCATTGATGCCGATGGCAGAATCGTACCCATAGGATCACAGGGTGAGCTGTGTACCAGGGGACCTAACAACATGATTGGTTACTGGGAGGACCCTGAGAAAACATCCAAGGCCATCACACCCGACCGCTGGTACCACACAGGGTAGGTAACTGTTCGTTTGCACAGAGTGTCCATGTATTGTGCATCCCTTTTCCTGATTAGAAAAGTTGGCTATCCTCCGAATAACGGCCACATATTATGGCGGCTCCAAAAAAAAAAAACCTAACAGGGCCTACGTCACATGTAAATTGCGGACTTCTTTCCGGCGAATATACCGCGGCAAAAGTAGGATAAATTTCCAGCGATGATGTCACGAAACACAACAAACCGCCGAGTTAAACTCGCCGCATCATGTGCAACTTCCTCATTTTTTTATGCTCATGAGTCCCAGCCATCTATTTTAACCTCCCTCCACGCCGCGCGGAGCGGCGCGGGGGATACTCTCAGAGGTTTCAATATGGGTTATCCTACGAATAATGGCCACATATTAAAGCGGCCACAAAAACAGCCACAAACAGCAGATTTTCGGGCACTATTAGCAACTTGATTGCCACAATTTACTGATGTAAAGGCATCAATTATCGGTAAGTAGTCGATTTCCTTTTTTTCCTTATTTTTCGTTCCTTATTATTTTCGAGTTCAAGTTTTTGAATGTTTACAACACATGACCTAATGAGGCCCTGTCAGGGAGATTTTTTTTTTTTTTTTTTTTTTTTTTGGCCGTTTTTCGGAGGATAGCTGAAAAGTTGAAAAATTTAGTTATAATTTTAATTTATGCAAGAGAAATACCATAACTGTGCGTCTTTGTTGCGAAACAGGCACTATGGATAATGTGTTTATTAACTACAGATCAAATAATGCAGGTTCAAATACTGACAGACCAGATTCTTTTTTTATTTTTTTTTTATTTGCAACATTATTTCCTCACAACAGTCATTTTGTCAGTTTTTTAAACATAAGCATTTTCTTATCTTAGAAATTAAAATACTTCGGCCACATCAAACAACATGGTGGACTGGAAAGAACAGATTAGAGGGCATGAATGAATCAAGAATTGACATCCCTGCAATTGGGACATTCCCACACCCTCTCCCTCCCTTTCTTCAATAGCCAATGAAGAGTTGCCATGTTAATACTACCAGTTGCACCTTGATTAAAAGTCCGCCTCTCTTCCCCCTTTAATTTCTTCCAGAACCTTCACACCTCTCCCCCCACCCCCTCCTCCGTTCAATTAATCTTTCAGTGTACAGATTCCTTATCTGTTATTTTGCATCGTCCATTTGATCCCCCAGAGAATTCACCTCACCACCTCTGCTTTATTATATAGCAGCTTACCGCCCAGAGGAGCGGCATCAGCTAATTTATCAGCCTGCTCGCTATCCCACACACCTAAGTTCCTGGACAGAAAATCCACGACAAGCTCTTGATCTGGTTCCTATCGAGTGATGCAAGCTCTTCTGCCTGCAGGACACCAGTTTCAATTTTCCGAAGCATGCTCTATGAGTCTGTTACACAAGGCTTTCTGTTTTCAAACAAGAGTCCATTCACCTTTGCAATAAAACCCTACACACTCTTCTTAACTCTCACTACAGACCCATCTGTATATATTATAATGTCACCTGGGCGAGAATTTTTATTGATCAGCTCTTGCACGGCTGACCTTCTTTCTCCAGCTATCCATTCCCGGCACCCTCGGTCCAATGTAACTATTACTCTGTTTAAATCTGTTCTGCTGGGTAACCCTGTAACCCATTCTTCACCATACACTATCTTGTCAGTAGCACAAACATTTCTGCCTCTGCCATCCATGAGCCACCTTTTTTTAAGTTTTGCATGCGCTCCAGTTTCTCTGTCTGGGCATGAGATAATGTTAGCAGTCCCAGACCAAACTCCATTACCACAATAATCATTGCTAGCAGAGTGTATAGAGCATTTTCTGATTACAAGTAAAGAATTCAGACCCACAATTAGAGTGACTTCCCTCCCCATTAATGCCTCGTTGTGATGCAGGGCATCTTCTATGTTGTAGGGGTGTTTGCTTCCTCGTTCGGTCAGTGTATATAATTGTTGTGTGAGGTTGTGTTGTCGTGATTTTTTTGAGTCACCACGGGCGCCTGTGTACAAATTAGAAGTATTGTAGAGGGAAGCACGACGATACTAAGTATCGAATTTTTGATGTTTTTTGTATTTCTACGTTCGTTGGTGCTGGCTTTCTCCCGAGCCAGAGAACGCACTGACAAGGCACATAGGCTTAGAAAAACATAACAATTTCTGTACCCCCAAAGCGATGCGCAAGTAGCAATACGTGGAAACAATCTTGGAAGTCAGCGATGAGGTTTGAGGAAAAAGAGAGGTTTTAATGCATTGACAATAAGGAATACATGACACCCCTGCAACATAGACGACGCCCTGCGTCACAACGAGGCATCATTGGAAAGGGAAGTCACTCTATGGGCCTGACTTCGTTATTTGTTCCCATTTTCTTGTCCATCTCCGCCTGGTGCCATCACCCTGAAAGCATTGAGTCCCTGTCTTTCAAACTACCTCTTCCACTTCGTATTTGATGCACAGCAACCACAAGGAGGTACCAATATTGGTTTTAAAACACACAAATCCTCAGTCTTTACTTATAATCAACACCGATATTACTTGTCCTATTTATACATAAATGGCCTAAAGTTTCTACTTCTCTTGCAATCTAATTTTGTCTCTGTCTTGTACTTTATTTAAATACATTATTTTTTTTTTTTAAGTAAAAGATCCCTTTCCAGGCCTTTAGGCGTATCAGGCATATTGGAAGAGCGCCTATATTTTTACAGACCATCAGCACTCTGTGGGTTATGTGGTCAGCATTATGCCGGCTGTCCCAGGACAGCCCATCCGGGTACCCATTTTAGGCTGGGTCGACCTGCGACGCCCCATACCATGATAAAAATTCCCGCAGCCAGCAGTGGGTTTCGATCGCGGTACGCTGGCTTACGAGTCGGGCTCTAGGGGGAACTAAAAACGAAAAACATATATCCGGGTGACTTATAAATAACCTTGTACATATATATATATATATATATATTACATTGTAAAAAAAACTACATTTAACTTTATATAAATAAAAAACCTTAGGGTGTCTAGTAAGATGATGAAATACAATGTGAATATGTTTTGTGTCCATATAATTTGTTTTTGATGAAATGTATGTCTATTGTATGATAAGTAATCATGTATTTTTAAATAAATATGTAATGATTTGTCCATTGATAATATATGAAAGAAAATTATACAATAAACCAATATATCTAAACTATTATACATCTGCTGATTATATTTGCATTCACTGTTGTCTGTTACCAGGGAGGGTAAAATAGGGAAATCACAGCAGACAAGAAAAGGAGAACTACAGGGGTATACACTAGATGGTTATCCAAGGCAGAAGATGCTTGAGAATGAAAGGGTTAGAGAGAGAGAGAGAGAGAGAGAGAGAGAGAGAGAGAGAGAGAGAGAGAGAGAGAAAGAGAGATTGAGAAAATATATATATATATATATATATATATATATATATATATATATATATATAGAGAGAGAGAGAGAGAGAGAGAGAGAGAGAGAGAGAGAGAGAGGACCACCCACGCAACAGCAGTATTCTATTAGTTTAAAATAGAGGAAGCCTGGGGAATTTATGTCAAGACAGGGGGGCCGTCTAGAGAAAAATGTGGAGAGAGTTTCGTTTCGTAAACAACAAATCAGTACAAGGGCTAAGAGCTCCCCCAACCATCAAACACCAAACCATCTGATGTCGCTCCTGATTTTCCGAACTTTTCTCCCAAAAGTCACGACCACATTTACAACTCCTATCAGCATCCAAATTCACAGTCTACATCCACAGGTCATCCTCATTCCCCGTTCAATCCGCGGTCAATCCATTTTCAAATCCACAGCTCACATTTCCACAACTCACATTTCCTACATCACAGTCAACCCACAAAGTCAACCCACAAACCACCCCGCAAGCCAACCCGCAACTCGTAAATAATATGGATAATTACCCGCTTATACTACACACACACACACATACAGAAGCACAGACAAATACACATACACTAGGCTGAATTAATCAAGTAACAGAAAGTATTGTGATCAGCACTCATAGAAGGAAGTGTTCCTCTATCTTTCTACTTCCTTCTATGAGTGCTGATCACAATACTTTCTGTTACTTGATTAATTCATAATATTTAACGGCCTCAAAAAGTCCCCCTCTCTGTTTATTTATACACTAGACTGGTAGCTGATGTAACCAGACAAAGGCAAAATATTAGCATGGCTGTTTCTTTCATCACTTGCTGTATATCCTTGATCAGATCCCACACTCTTAGCCAACTGAAGCCAAATTCTGTATTCTCTTTGCTATTGCCTGCATTTCCTCCATGCTGTCCCCATACTTTTTATTTGTGTCTCTTCTTCCTTTCTTCCCGTGTCTTAGTGTCACCTTCTTAACTCTTTGACTGCATGGTTCCAGAGGAAGAATTCTTAACTCTTTGACTGCATGGTTCCAGAGGAAGAATTCTTAACTCTTTGACTGCATGGTTCCAGAGGAAGAATTCTTAACTCTTTGACTGCATGGTTCCAGAGGAAGAATTCTTAACTCTTTTACTGCATGGTTCCAGAGGAAGAATGTTTTTGTTATTTTGTTCTTAGGGTTTTCAGAGTATGCCCTATTGAGAGCCAGTATATTTTTCTCACTTCTTCCTTCTCGCTGGCCACCTTTGCTTCCCATGACTTTAAATAAAACATTTTTTAGGCTGGGTCGATCTGGAAACCAATGTCACTTTAAAAAAACTTTAACTAGAACAATAAACTTGGTACTAGCTCAGTTTCTTCATTTCCTTAATTCTGAAATTGTCTACTCCAGGGATTTGGCTGTGTTCTCAGCAGACGGCTACTGCAGCATTGTGGGACGGATCAAGGACATGTTGATTCGGGGAGGGGAAAATATCTACCCGCTAGAAATTGAGCAAGTGCTGTACAAACACCCCAAGATCAAGGACGTTCAAGTAAGTTCAAAACTTGGTGAATTGAATGGTTGTTGGTAAAGTAAAAAAGTAAAGGACCCTTTTCCGCGCCTTTCAGACGTATTGTGTAAATAGGGCTAGACCATACGGCACTTGGTGGGTGACGTGGTCAGCATCATGCCGGCCACCTTTGCTTCCTAGGACTGCACCTGATACCACTCAAGGCTTGGTCGACCTGGGAGCCAAAGTCATTTTTGAATTGAAAAAAGTCCGACCCCTGTCAGGAACCGAACCCACGATCTTCTGATCCGCAGGCGAGCGTCTCACCACTAGACCATGGAAATCGCCCTTTGGTTGCTGGTGAACACTAGAAATAGTCAAGGTTGCAGGCTGTATAGTTTGAAACTGCAAAGGATAGGCCATAAGGCGATTGCCGGGACAAAACTGTGTCTGCATTAGATCCATCTGAGCACTGGGTTGGAGTCAGTTGACAGTGAAATGCTTAAACCCATGAAAGACTTTTTTTAATTGGAGTTTTTCTTGCTAGTCACACTCGCCATGGGCAGGGTCGGGAACTACAATGCCTTCCTATTGCACGGTAAAACATTATCATCTGGACAGATGGACAGATGAAAACATACTTAGTTGTTTCTATAATTGTTATAAGTACTTGGTTGGTTCTATGCTGGTTATCTATACGTGGTAGAATCGATGCTGGTTATCTATACCTGGTTGATACCATGCTTGTTATCTATGATCGGTTGATCCTATTCTTGTTGTCTATACTTGGTTGCTTCTGTGCTTGTTGTCTACCATTGGTTGACTCTATACATGTTATGTTTACCTTATTGATTCTACTCTGAAAGCATGTTGAGAAAGGGGTATACAGGGATGCTTCAAGCAAAGTGGCAAGCTTGACTAGGAAGGTCACGGGTAGTCAGCATACTTTGGATATTTTCTCAAGGCTATGCCGGCGTAGTGGGTAATGAACAGTTAGACATATTGGATGGATCTTCACCAATGTGTGGTGAATTGATACTTGGCAAGGCAAATGTGGTCAAGGCCTTTTGGGAACAAGCAATGGAATCAGTAGAGATAAAAGATTATTATGGGGGTCTGGCCGGCCGGCTCGCTACACTCAGAAGAAAGGCAAGACGGACATATAATCAGACTGTGACTAGTACCATCAGTACTAGAACTCTGCGCTGGCTGCTGAAGATGAGGACGGAGCACGCGTAGGAATGCCTCGAGTGCTGTGATGTCAGTTCTTGACTCAAAACTTAACGGGTTGATTCTGTATATGTTATCTACAGTTGGTTGATTCTATACTTGTTTTCTATAATTGGTTGATTCTATGCTCGATTGATTCTATACTTGTTATCTATACTTGGTTGATTCTATGCTTGGTTAATTCTATACTGGTTATTTATTCTTGGTTGATTTTGTACTTGTTGTCTATACTTGGTTGTTTCTATACTTGTTATCTACAATTAGTTGATTCTACACTTGTTATCTATACCTAGCTGATGCTGTGGTTGTTATCTATACTTGGTTGATCCTATACTTGGTTGATCCTATACTTGGTTGATCCTATACTTGGCTGATGTTATACTTGGTTGATCCTATACTTGGTTGATGCTATACTTGGTTGATCCTATACTTGATTGATCCTTGATCCTATACTTGGTTGATGCTATACTTGGTTGATCCTATACTTGGCTGATGTTATACTTGGTTGATCCTGTACTTGGTTGATGCCACACTTGTTATTCTATGACCCATGATTATCTACAGGTGATTGGAGTGCCGGATGAAAGACTGGGAGAACAAGTCTGTGCCTGGATTGTCATAAAACCTGGCATGAACCTTACAGAAAACGAAGTCAGGGAATTCTGTAGTGACAAGGTGAGTTTAAGATCTTCAGCTCCTTGTATGGGTACCAATCAATTGTATATCAGTAAAAGAGTATTGGCTTTTCATAATGTATATCAGTCAGTATGTTAGGTAGTCAAGACTCCAACATCACACTACAGACGAGTCGCCCCATAGCTGCTCCATTCCTGTGCTAGTGAAAATAACATGACATTTCATTAACTGCTCCATGTGAAAACTAGTGAAGAACTTGCCAGTCCCAGCCAAATTGTGGTTCTTGCACATGCAAAGTAAGAGCGCATAAGGCTGCTGTCAGATGTTCCAACACTAGCAGTCCTTCAGCAGAATTAAAGTCCATTTTTGATGCAAACAGTGGATTAGTTATTCCACTTGTAAAAGTGCACACCATTCAGAACAATTGAACCCCCAGTATTTTAATGCAGTCAACAACACCCCATGGGCACAACCGGGTCGGGGGGAGGTCGGGGGGACAACAGGAAATCACAGGTCACAGTGTCACACCAACTTAGTTACTGGGTGATGGAACCTTTGTACTTCTGGTACCATTGAGTAGCACTAGAAGATAAAAACCGTGTTAATACCTATCCTCTCTTATGACTTGTATTTCTGGTTCCTGCGGTACTACACTGAGCGTCTCCTATGGGCTTCATCAACTAATGTATGAATTAGCCGATTACTGAGAAATTATTCCTTAGCTGCAGAAATGCCAACAAGAAACAGTAAAGAAAAAGTAAAGGACTCTTTTCACGGCAGTAGCGCAGCAGGCATATGATGCTAAACTCATGTTTTGAATAGATCACGGCTATGTAACTCAGGGGCCACAAAATGTAGATCATCAAGGGCCAGTGACCCGAGCCCCAGAAGTGAAAGATCATTAACACAATACAACTAGCTATGATCCACGGGCCACTTACTACGCCTCCGCGGGCCGCCAGTTGAATAGTCCTGTTATAGACCAACTGGCACACAATGGGTGACATAGTCAGCATCACACCGGTAACCTTTATTTTCCTTGGACCAACCAGAAAAACAAAATAATTTATTTGTCTACAAAAATTTACCGAAAGCTTTAATTAATTGATGGTCATGTCTAGCAATATTTATAATTTGCTTGTTTGCCTTTTCTGACTGAGCATATAGTAGATTAAGATCTTGTTCAACATTATTGAGGTTATAACTGGTATAAAGGTAATATTTTGGAAAGATAATTGTAATTAATCTTGTTCAACATTATTGAGGTTGTAACTGGTTTAAAGGTAATATTTTGGGAAGATAATTGTAATTAATCTTGTTCAACATTATTGAGGTTATAACTGGTATAAAGGTAATATTTTGGGAAGATAATTGTAATTGTTGTTGAAAATGACTAAGTTTTGTGTTTTTTCCTCAGATGGCCAGATTTAAAATCCCAAAATATATTCTTTTTGTGGATAGTTTCCCGACAACAGTTACCGGGAAAATACAGAAGTTTGTCATGAGAGAAGAAAGTATCAAACGATTGAATTTACCTCTGAACTGATGACATTTTAGATTGTATGTGTGTGTGTTTGTCTCTGAGTTTAAGTATGATCTTGTCTTAGAGCTGATGAAAGGGTTTCTCTCAGAGTTTAAGCATGATCTTGTCTTAGAGCTGATGAAAGGGTTTCTCTCAGAGTTTAAGCATGATCTTGTCTTAGAGCTGATGAAAGGGTTTCTCTCAGAGTTTAAGCATGATCTTGTCTTAGAGCTGATGAAAGGGTTTCTCTCAGAGTTTAAGCATGATCTTGTCTTAGAGCTGATGAAAGGGTTTCTCTCAGAGTTTAAGTATGATCTTGTCTTAGAGCTTATGTAAGGGTTTCTCTCAGAGTTGAGGTGCTATTTTGTCTTAGAGTTAATATGAGATAGTGTCTCATTTTTAATAATGTGAGCTTATCTTAGAGTTGGCATATAATCTTATATCTTAGTTGATTATATCTCGAAGCCGCCATAATTTAGTGGCTAGACGCATGCCTTTGTATCCTTAGCTTGTAAGCTCTGGTCCTGTTGGAGCCAGACATTTTTCAGAAATGGGTTCAAGGCAAAGTCTTTGGAAGTAAAGGTAGCCAAGATGATGCTGACTCCATCACCCACCAAGTGCCGATTGGTCTAAAAATATAAATCAAGACCTATTTGCCTAATACACATGAAAAAGGTGCTTTACTTTTACTTACTTTTGTTTACATATCTGAGAGCTAAAAGGTAGACATTTTTATAGACTGGAGCAGTTTCTATGCAAAGTGGCTGGTCACCAGCACAGTGTCACACACAGATACAATGTGGATCCACAGAAATTGCTGAAACAATCACCGGCATTAACAGAAGCACATTCAATTGTCCTGGGAACGTTATCTCATTTGAAAGTATTTTAAGATCTAAGGGAATTAACTGTTAATACAGATTTTACATAGTATCTTTGAGTTACAACCCTTGATGTTCTCAGACCTATATTTATCATTGTGACCACGCCTATCATTCATTTTATTGGCTTGACAGCAACGTGATGGTTATCGGGAATACTTCAGTTAATTGATGTTTATTTATTGTTGTTTGTTTTTGTGGTGGCGTTTATTTAAATAATTTGTTGATGAAGGCTTTCTATCCGCAGTGTTCACTAGTTTGTGATAATGTGAAGCTGACTGGCTCTACTTGTCATTTGGTTTGCTATCTTTTTATGACAGAGTCAAAGGCGACACTTAACTTGTTATTCAGATTTATATGGAGACATTTAGGAAATTATGCACTCAAATCAATTTATCTCAGAACTGATGGCAAATATCTCATAATTGATGAGTAAACTTATCCCAGAATTGTATCCATTCATTTATCATAGAACTGAGGGTAGACTTGTCTTGGAATTAATGAATATATTTATCTCACAGTTAATGAGAAAACTTATCTCTGTGCTGAAAGTAAACAGACATTAAAATTTATGTTCTAACTGTTTGCTGTAGTTGTTGGAAGACATTATCCAGACTTTGTTGTTTGTTTGTGCCATTATCCCAGAGTTGTCCGACATATTGCAAATAATCAATTATTGAACTGACTTTCAGTATTAAAATCCTGGTTTTTTTTATAGAAAAACAATCATCTGTTGTTATTGTTGAAAATAAAAAGTCATCAGAATTTATGTTCAAACTGTTTTATGATGCTAAAGTTGACGGAGTACATTGTGCAGTCTTTTTGTGTTTGTGCCATTATCTCAAAGTTGATGTCTGAAATATTGCTAAATATTATTCATTAAAAGGACTTTCAGTATTAAAATCCAGGTTTTTATATGGAAAAACAATCATACATTGTTATTGTTGAGTTACTTTGTCCAGGTATTAAATATTTGTATCAGAACGTTCAGAGATCCTTTATATTGCTATCATTGTTCTGTAAAATCAAAGTGGCATAGGCCAAAAAAAGAGACTAATTAAAAAAAATAGATACAATTGTATCACACTTAAAGTCAGTGCACATTGGGCAGTTCCATGTGTGCTCAGTCTTTTGATGTAGCAGTCACTTAGAGGTGCCCCTGTGGAGTATTCGCTTGTGACATTGGCAACCCGTAGGCTAAGGGCGATAACGCCACAGAAACTCACACATGTAAGACTTTAATAAGTGTCTGTGCGTGCCATTCTGACGCTTGTTTCTCTCCTTTGCTAACCTCGGACCGCCAAAATTGATGGAGTGATTGACATTAAAATGCGCCAATCCATGAATATTCTTAATTTCATTGTATGCACTCCACAGATTGGAGACAACTGTCGTGCCAGGTCTGATGTTTGTGGTAATGATCGGCAGACGCGTCTCTGCTTTTCTGTCTGGAAGACAAAGCATAAAGCATTCGCCGGATTCGCGACAGACACCACCAAATATCCACTGTCGTCAAAACGCTCGGCCCACATAATTGCTCTGCCTTGCAAGCAGACTTTCATCAATTTCAACAGTGGTGTTTGTTCTCTCCGCCAATCACTGCCAGGATTCAATAATTATGTATTGGCACAAACCTCCCGTATGTAGTTGCTCCACTCCACAGTTGTATTCTTCGATTGACATGCCCAGATCTACTTGGCAAAACTGAACGCTTGTCAGCTCGTGAGACCAGTAGTATGGAAAAAGAATGATTTGTCTGTAAGGTAGGCGCGACCCTTGCAGCTCTGTCCCTTGCCATAACGGTATGTCCAGGCGACAGGTTGATTTTCACACCGCCATCGGTCCTGTCTTTCCGTCAGCGATAACATCATCGCATGATTATTGCCACAGCGTCTGGTGCTATGCAAAATGCCACGATGTTGTAGGAAAGCACTGCTGGTCTTCTTGTCAGGCACAGATGCTGCCAATTTGAGGTAATTCATGTCAATAAAGACTGAACAGAACACACAAGTTGTCCCTGGAGAGATGACGCTGCAACACAAGTCGCCGCTCTGCAGAGATGTAATAAAGGCGCCAAAACCTTGGTAACGCCTAGGAAGACACACAGACAGAGGGAAAGCCCACTTTTACCACTCTGGAAGATATTTGACTGTCCCGTGACGTCCTCTGTGGTCAATTAGTGGGATAGTACCGTGATCTCAATAGCTGAAGTACTGAATGTGATTTCATTATCTAAAGTGCTGTATATGACTTGATTATCTAAAGTAATGTATGTCGTCTCATTAACTGAAATAGTGAATATGGTTTCAGTCATGGAAGGTCGATTGGGTGTCAGTGTAAAGGCCGAGTTCTAAAACACACACTAAACAATATCAAATTGTACATGTCCTCCATTGACTCCCTGCCCACATTAGATAGCAAACGCTCGTTAGGCTTCACAGTCATAGCTTGTGTTGAGGGAATTCTTTCGATGGAAGTTTAAGCCTACCGAGTTGTTATCTAAAAGTTGGCCATAATATCCGGAGATTTGAACATCTCCAAGGCAGACTAACAAGGTAGATTCCAGATACCACGTTCAACCTCTAAAAGAAGTCACAACTAGGGCACCCAGGTGTAACATGCAGTTCTATAAGGGTAACGGGTGGGGGGGGGGGGGGGGGGAGGGTGGAAAATGTTTCGGGGGTCACAGCCGAATAATAGGCCAATCAGAAAATGAATTTCAATAACTTCATTTCAAAAATGAAAATATTTTATGTATTAAGTAACTTTTACTGAACGTCCGAAATAAAGTACTCAAATGTTATGCTGAACGTGTTTTACTGAACGACAGTGAATAATGGATTTATTGCACATATTCATTTCCGTGCAAATCAGACTAGCATAGTCACCTTTATGCGCAGACGTCCAATCAACAACACAACAAGTAAAATGCAAAGATGGCTAATCAGTTAAAAAATAAAAGCATGGGATCGTACGAACCGCGTAATCCTGGCAACATTTGTATACAATTCTTGCGTCTTTTAAGGGGATCGTTTGGATTATGTTTGCATTGCAGTAAACAAATTCGTTTCCCTTGTCTAGGCTTCAAGAACGTGGAAACATCGACTTTTCAAGATAGCGTTTCCCCTTGTGTTACACAATACTAGACCGGCTTGAAACAGACTGTGTATTGTAAAAAATCTGGAATAGCCCCGGTGTGATTTCATTCATGAGGAAAGTCATTTGCATATAGATCTCTTGTGTAGAATCTACGGATCTCCCCACGTCGGTTCTGGGGTCCTATTGTGAAAAGTGGGGGGGGGGGGGGGGTGGGGGGGGGGGGGTGAGGATAGACTAGCTGCTCCCAACTAGCATAGGATAAGATGCCGAAAGGTGCAGATATTGTAGAAACAACCGTCTGTGTAAGGGGAAACTTACATTTTAAATATATATATATATACACACACACACACACACACACATATACAAATATGAACACACATACATATATATACACGCATATATATATATATATATATATATATATATATATATATATATATATATATATATATATATATATAAGTAAAGGACATTTTTCCTCGTCTTTAGGGAATGTAGGGCTAGACCTATATTTTATAGACCAATCGGCACAAAATGGGTTATGTAGTCAGCGTCACACCGGCCGCCTCTACTTCCCGGGACTGCACCCGGTACCCACTCAAGGCTGGGTCGACCCGGGAAGCAAGGTCATTTTTGAAAAAAAGTTCGGCTCCGCCAGGCAGCAAACCCACTACCTTTCGCTCCGCCAGGCAGCAAACCCACGACCTTTCGCTCCGCCAGGCAGCAAACCCACGACCTTTCGCTCCTCCAGGCAGCAAACCCACGACCTTCAGCTCCGCCACGGCTACTCCCCGCATATATATATATATATATATATATATATATATATATATATATATATATATATATATATGCACACACATATATACAGACCCATATACACACACACACACACACACAAATATGCCCACATATATAGATAGACGTATGTACTAGAAGCAAAGCCTTAGCGGGATATTGTATTAAAGGAAGTGGAGAGACAATATAAAGGATTATATAAAAAATCAACTGCTTGAACTGCCTCAGTGACAATAAAAAACA